AGCATCCACCTCTTGGTTTCAGCTCAGGTCATGATCTCACAGTTTCATGGGTGTGAGTCCAGCATCAAGCTCAGCACTGTTGGTGTGGAGCCTGCTTGGGGTTCTCTCTCTCTCTGCCCCTCCCCTACTTTCTCTCTCTCTTAAAAATTAAAAAAAAATTTTTTTTTAAATAAACAAACAACTACTCTCACAAATTGCTATGAAAATTTGAAGTGTTGTTCTACAAACACAAGAACAAGCCCTTTCTAAAGGCCTGTCCTTAAAATAACAAAACCATTTTTCTCTATTAGCAGAATGTTTTCCTGCTGGTCCAGAAAAAAATCCCCTCTTGGGCTCTCACCTCAATCCTGGTCAGGCTCGATGTTTCCAGTCTAGGCACTAGAGCAGTTCTTCCAGTTTTGGGTGCAAAAGCCCTCCTCTTCTGAGGGGCTCTGAAAGAACACTCTCCAGAACAACTTCCTCTAAAATACTCTCATACCCCAATCATAAAATACTTATTTTTGATGAAAAATCTCTAATAAATTTTTTTTAATTTTTTTTTAACGTTTATTTATTTTTGAGACAGAGAGAGACACAGCATGAATGGGGGAGGGGCAGAGAGAGAGGGAAACACAGAATCGGATGCAGGCTCCAGGCTCTGAGCCATCAGCCCAGAGCCCGACGCGGGGCTCGAACTCGAGGACCGCGAGATCGTGACCTGAGCTGAAGTCGGACGCTTAACCGACTGAGCCACCCAGGCGCCCCACTAATAAATTTTTTTAAGTTTATTTATTGTTGAGAGGGGCAGAGAGAGGGACAGAGAGACTCCCAAGTAGGCTCCATGTTGTCAGTGCAGAGCCCACTGCAGGGCTCAATGAGGGGCTCGTTCTTACGACCCTGAGATCTGAGATCATGGCCTGGGGAAATATCGAGTCAGACGCCCAACTGACTGAGCCACACAGACACCCCGGAAAATCTCTAATAAAGCACAGAAAATTATAAAGAAAAAAAGTAAGAGTTAACCTGTAATCCCACCACTCAGAGATAACCACTGTCTTTGTTTTTCTAAGTATACATACATGTTTTTTTTTAATAGATGAGATGCTACTAGGTATATGTGTATCCAGTTCAGTTGTTTAATACTATTCTGAGCTTAGCCCCAAGTCTTTAAAGTATCCTTGCAAATATTTTTAATGGTTGTCTAATATTCCATTAACCCTTATTTACCCATTCCCCACTATTGTATTTTAGGCTAACATCCCGTTTTGAATCTCCATTCAAAGAGCAAACTAGCTCTTATAAGTGGCAGGTTTCTTCTCTCCTTCCCTTCCACTATCCTCACCAGCATAACTTGGAACTGAGACTGCAATTTAAAAATGCAAGGTAAGAATTTTCTGCTTGTCGCACCTCAATATTTACATTATGTAGTTTTAAAATGTTTACCCTCTGAGTGATCGGGCTACACATGTCAGGGCACAAGATGACCTGACAGGGCCTTTTCAGGTCACACACAACATATTACGAGGGACCCAATGACACTACATAATATCTCTCAATGTTGTCCTTATGAAAAGAGGGTCCCAGGGAATTCAGACCACACCACATTCACATCCACTCATCTCCATGAAAAGAGGTTTTACCACCTTATTGCTGCTGGCTCCTGGCCTATCAGTGTCCGAGAAGTGACTGAAAAATCTTCATTTCTGGGACCGTCATAAAACATGAGTCTGCATCGACTCAAGTGGCACTGTCTCAAGTGCCCTCGATGCAAGGACTGAGAATTAGCCTCTCTTTAAAACAATGTAACTATAAGAAGCAAGTATCCTTTTCTCAGAGTGAGAAAAACAAATAAGAACAAACCAATTTTTTGCAGGTTTTCTTATTTCCCTTAAACAGATAATCCCTGATCTGATTTTAACTTAATACCTCACTCATTAATAATGTACATCATAAGATTTGGACTGTTAACTCCTTAACAGTGTAAAAGTAAATGCTTCATATTCCCAAACTTACAAACACTTAAATCATCAAAGCATGCAGGAAAAAAAAAGTACATTTGCCAAGAAGTAATTAAATTCTACCTGTAGCATCTTCTCTTCTGGGTGTGCTCCTTAGTTCCAGGTACTTGACACCATCATTTGCAAATTCTTTAATGACATCTTTTGTGACCTGATAATTAAGGCAATGGACACAATATTGATAACGTTAGTGTAAGGGTCCCAATAAAAACGTTGGTGTAATGTCCCAACACATGCTACAGCTTTATCACATGCATTAAACTTGATTTGCAAAAAATGTTGGAAGTCTCTCATGCAGTCAAGATGACCTGCTTTGTCATACCCTTGCGGGAGACTGACCGAACTGTAACACTTCCAACAGCTCCCCTCACAGCACTCATTCTCACATTAAATCCAAATATACACATCATGCACATCTTTCTGCTCTTTTCTCTTTAGCATTTCTCCATTTCCTAGTGTTCACAACAGCAGTTGATAAAACAGAGAAATGAGGCAAAACTAAAACTACCTATGAGTGCATAGTACTAGGGAGGTACATATGTAAATAAATGGCAGGGCACCTGGGTGGCTCAGTCAGTTGAGCATCCAACTTTGGCTCAGGTCATGATCTCGTGGTTCATGAGTTAGAGCTCTGTGTCAGGCTCTGTGCTGACAGCTCAGAGCCTGGAGCCTACTTCAGATTCTGTGTCTCCCTCTCTCTCTCTTCCCCTTCCCTGTTTGCGCTCTCTTTCTCTCTCTCAAAAATAAACATTAAAAAAAGAAAGAAGTGGCTAAAACGATTAGGTATTACTGACTCACCATTTAAAGCCATGGCTTAATGTTCTTATTCAAGTTATTTAGGAATAAGTTGTACTTTTCAAGAATTTCTTCAGGCAGGGTTAAATTTGCCCCAAAAGTACTAAGCCAAATTCCTCTTTGGCAAAGAAAATGGGTGATAAATATGAGTAAAATGGTATCCACGTTAGCACAAATTTCAACAATCCAAAAATGGTTAAATGACCAGGGCAAATGATATCAAAAGGATAAACGCATTTTTTCCTTCTCTGCCATCAATCCTAAAAATACCAAATCTAGAAGAAAAAAGGACCAGGTTGGAAATACTGTGACAACCAGCTCTAGTTAGTCCTTGCTATTGGTAGCCTAATCTCAACCCGCTTCAACTACAAGCACATAGGCATGCAAGGGCAGTGTCCTGGCAAAGGAATAAAGGTTGGCTGATTATGTAGACAGCGCCTAACAAGGTGGCACTACTTTGGTAGATTCACTGTGATCCAAGGTCTGGGCTTCATCTGGTTTTGCGCGTGTGTATTTAAAGCCAAAAAGGAATTTATTATAATATAAATATACAAGGCTCAGATTCAGCATGTCTGGAAAATCAGCCTCAAAAAGCATTCAAAATCATGTGACACTCCTAGACCAAGCAAGATACCATTGTTTCTTCCACCACTAAGCATGACCCTGTAGCTTCTGTATGATCATCACAGGTACTGGACCCCATGGCACTGCTGCCCCCAAAACTCCATGTTGCTGCCAATGCCACTACCAGAATGTGGGCCTCATCTACACAGACCAAGGATCTTGCATCTTGTCAGTGGCTCCAGAACCGAACAGACCCACAGAGGCCAACCCACTCTATCCCAGCTCACATGTAGCTAATGCAGAAGCCTACTTGCTAATGTATGCATTGACAATGAGGGTGGAGGTGAGGGTATGAAGTGGTGGTCCTCACTGACTGATGAGACCACATCTACTATCCAAGTACTCTTTCTTGGTTTCTTGAGGTACCTGTGAAACTAACTAAAACAGAAGGACACTGACAAGCACGGAATGAGAGCAATGAAATGATTTATCTAGGCCATGTTGAGGCCTGTGGAATCATCCCTACTCATGTTTAATAGTACTTCCCTGGAGTCCACAACTGTGTCTGCCAGATTCAGCCCTTTCTGCTCCATGCAGCAACAGGTACTGAAGACAACTCTTTTTCAAGCTCCTTCTTCAGATAGGACACAATGCAGTTAAGTTTCTGCTTACTCTAAGGATGGTGTAAGACTGCATCTCTTGAATGAGAAAGAATATGGGTTCTAGGTGCGCCTGGGCGGCTTAGTCGGTTAAGCATCTGACTTTAGCTCAGGTCCTGATCTCAGTTTGTGAGTTCGAGCCCCGCGTTGGGCTCTGTACTGACAGTGCGGAGCCTGGAGCCCCCTTAGAGTTCTGTGTCTCCCTCTCTCTCTGCCCCTCTCCCGCTGATGCCCTGTCTCTCTCTCTCTCTCTCTCTCTCTCTCAAAAATAAATAAACATTAAAACATTTAAAAAAAAAAAAAAAAAAAAGAACATAGGCTCTGGAACCAGACAGTCAATTCCTCCACTTATTCTGTGAGTGACCTTGAACAAGTTACCTTTAACCTACTTAAGCCTCAGGGTTTTTTTTTTGTTTTTTTTCCACCTGCAAAAAGGGAACAGTAAAAATACCTACCTCAGAAAGTAGTCTTGGATGTGGTGTCTGGCACATCAATCATGTTCCAATCCTTTTTCTCTTTGAGATTACACCCAGGTTACCTTGCCTGGACTGTTAAGTGATCCCACACACTTGATCCCACATTTACAAACAATCTCTCCACATACTCCCTTACAGTGTTCATTTATTATATGTAAATGTTACTAATTTCACTCTCAGTGTCCTCCTTCAGAACCACCTAAAGTTATTCACTCTAGTACCACTAAGTCAAATCACAGAATCTTAATTCCTCACCTTGCTTTTTTTTTCTTTTCTAATTTTATTTAAATTCTAGTTACCATACAGTGCAATATTGGTTTCAGGAGAATTCAGTGATTTATCACTTACATACAACACCCAGTGCTCATCATAACAAGTGCACTCCTTAGTACCCATTCCCCACCTAACCCACCCCCCACCTCCCTCCCTTCATCAATCCTCAGTTTCTTCTCTATTTCTAAAAGTTAAGGTTAGTTTCCCTCTCTCTTTTTTTTCCTTTTTCCCTCCATATGTTCACCTGTTTTGTCTCTTAATTTGCACACATGAATGAAATCATATGGTATTTGTTTTTCTCTTATTTCGCTTAGCATAATATTCTCTACCTCCATCCACATTGTTGCAAATGGCAAGATTTCATTTTTTTTTTTTGATGGCTGTGAAATATTCCATTGTGTATATATACCATATCTTCTTTAATCCATTCATCAGCCGATGGACATTTGGGCTCTTTCTATAGTTTGGCTATTGTTGATAAAGTTGCCAAAAACACTGGGGTGCATGTACCCCTTCAAATCTGTATTTTTGTATCCTTTGGCCTTATCTCATTTTAATAAAGCTTTTTAACAACTTTGAAAGGAATTAAATAATGAGCATGGGATTATTATAGCCAGAATATTAAGCTCTTCAAATCCAAAATTTCATGAGTTTTGCTCTGTTACAATCAACAACAGAAAGTGAAACATTCCTAGCAGTATTCAATGCTATTGAGTGGCTGATCAGACAATGCTCCTTTGGGTTCCTATAAATCCCTGTGTATATCTCTAACACACAGCTTACCTCATTATATTGGATTTATCTACTTATGGGTCTGTCTCTCCAACCTAAATATAAATTCCTCACGGGCAGGAACCATGTCCATCTATCTTCATACCCCCCAGTCTTTCGCAGAGTGCCTAGAACATTGCGGACACTCAATCAACTTCTGTTGAGCTAAACTTTTAGAGTTAACTCTCCTTCAAAAGATGATTACTTATAGTTATCATGAGAAGCAGTCTCAGCTGAGGAAAATTCTTTCTTGACCAGTCAGAAGTTAGTTCTCCAAAAACACAGGTTATACTTCTTAATCTGCAATTTTTTTTCTAATGGTTAATAACACTGGTAGGATTTACTTTTCTCCATTTACAAAGAGTACATTTTAAAATGCCATCCTGGTCAGACAATGATACAAAAGCCAGTCTTCTGTATCAGGCTCTAATATCACAGAGCTTCAGATAAGAGAACACAATGGTGTCCTCTAGTCCTTCATCCTCAGAGGGAAGGCACACTTTCCCTAGGGATTAATCAGTTATTCAATCTCTAAGTACTTCTTGAACTTTACTGTCTATACTGTGCACCTAGGCAGTTAAAAGTATCTCAAGCAATACAGATAAACCCTTATCAAGAAAATGGCCAGATATGGTCAAATATTTCATATGGTAAGTAATATATGGAAAACAGGACAGGATCTTATCCTCCATTTTATCCTGTATGTAACAGAAAATGATGATCTTGGTTCTTTTATCTTTCTCAATGAATGTAGTCTTTTGATATTAGTTCTCGGCAAATGTCAGATGTTGGTTTTGAAAACAGTTGCCATAAAAAAGCAGAAAGCATTTCTCATTTGATTCTTGATCAAAGCAGAAGGTCATGTGTAACACCAGAAGTGCACAAATTACTTAATAGTTTTTAAACCACTCTAAAAATTGCTTCATTTCTCACCATTAGAATATCTTCAGGGCTAGTAGTAAGCTGGTGAATAATTTGAAACATCTGGAAACATCTGCAACATGAAAAGTTTTAACATACTCTAGTCATCAAAAACTTGTCACTCAAGACAAACCCATTACGTTGAATTAATATATTTTAGGCTAATACTAATTATACATCTATAAAGAATTACAGACTAAGTTTTTCAAAAATTATACTGATCTGGAAGGATAATCAAATGACTAAAAATAAAATATTATTTTTAAGCGGGCAACAGTAGCTTCCCTTTGCCACACCTCCTACCCTCTGCTGATAACAGCAAACAGACAAGTCAATAAGCCTATATTTTTAAGTCTAAAGAATATTCCAGGGGCACCTGAGTGGCTCAATTAAGTGTCTGACTCTTGATTTCGGCTCAGGTTATGATCTCATGTTCATGAGACTGAGCCCCCCATCATGTGGAGCCTGCTTGGGATTCTCTGTCTCTGTCTCTCTCAGCTCCTCCCCCGCTCTCTCTCTCTCAAAATAAATAAGCTTTAAAAACAGAAAGAAAGAATATTTCAATATAGTACAACTTTACAAACAACCTAAATCACTAAAAATACTGTCAACAGCCTGACAGCTGGAAAAAAATGCTGTATGTCAAGTTATACCCTCCATACCAAATGACTACACATTTCTAAACTACAAAAATCTGGATTCTTACATACTATTTACAATCTCAAAACAATAAAAGAGAAAAAAAAGAAGTATGTCCACAACCTCCCCAAACTCACTCTTCTAAAGTTCTTTTCTTTCCCTTGTCAATCATAGTCATCTGATCGTGGATTTTAAGATCTGGCTTCTTGGCTATCAATTTCTTCATGGTATTAGAACTAATGGATCCATTCAAGTGGGCATGAAGTTCCTAAAAACAAGAGAATACAATCAGTAAAAACTTCTCAAGTATCAACTAGATTCATAGCATCATACCAGGTACTTGATGTTTGTATTCTGTACCAGGTAAACTACCTACCAGATGTAGCTACATGACTCTTATAGTTTACAAAGTTTAAATTCTACCTATAAAATTTACTTCTCTTTGTGAAAACAACAACAACAACAACAACAACAACAACAACAACAACAACACAGATGTCCGTATAATTAGTAACCACTCCAGAAATGTGTGGCTGAATTCTCACCACTTTAGGTAATTCTGAATAAAAAGCTGTCTTCCATGGTTGCTGGTGTTCTTCTGCTTCCATCATGACGTAGTAGAAAAAGATCTTTCTCCAAATACTCTCGTTCTTGTTATAAACAGTACCATGTACTTTTGTCAGTAAGTTCTGTGGTCTTGAATTCCTTCAGATTGTTTTATGTCCACACATTTTGATAAGATAAACTGTATATGTAGCTCTGGGCTCAGCTTCACCTATGTAAACAAATGTGAACATTTTCAAGTGTTGACAGAAAAGCAAAGAAACAGAATTTTGCCACTTTATTCCTTAAAAGATGAAAACCCCAGGGCGCGTGGGTGGCTCAGTCAGTTAAGTGTCCAACTTCAGCTCAGGTCATGATCTTGCAGTTGGTGGGTCTGAGCTCCACATCAGGCTCTGTGCTGACAGCTCAGAGCCTGGAGCCTGCTTCAAATTCTGTCTCTCTCTCTCTCTCTCTCTGCCCCTCCCTTGCTTGTGCTCTGCTTCTCTCTCTCTCTCTCAAAAATGAAATAAACATTAAAAAAATTTTTTTAAAAAAATGAAAACCCCTTCAATGCTAATTTAAGCAAACTAACAATCTGAACTAGAAATAAGAAAATGCCTCAAACTGGTAGAGGTGAATTAAAATCTGAAATTTACTAAGGTGGGGTGCCTGGGTGGCTCACTCGGTTAGGCGTCAGACTCTTGATTTTGGTTTGGGTCATGATCTCACAGTTCATGGGTTTGGGCTCCACGCTGATGGTGCAGAGCCTGCCTGGGATTCTCTCTCCTTCTCTCTGCCCCTCTCCTGCTTGCTCTCTCTCTCAAAATAAAAAAATAAAAAAATAAAGGAATTTAGTAAGGTATTGAGTATTCCTTACCTATTAGAACTTTCTATGAAACTACTTCTAAAAGTAGAAATTTATAAAGCCTAATTTGGGTAAAAGTTTATGTTTTTGAGCTGCTTAAAAAATATAAAGGAAGAGGGGCACCTGGGTGGCTCAGTTGGTTAAGCATCCAACTCTTGGTTTCAGCTCAGGTCATGATCTCATGGTTTCCTGAGTTTGAGCCCTGCATTGGGCTCTGTGCTGACAGTGAGGAGCCTACTTGGGATATTCTCATTCATTCTCTTTCTCTCCCTCCTCCTCTTTCTCTCTCTCTCTCTCCTTGCCACTCCCTCACTCATGCTGTCTCTCTCTCAAAAATAACATAACATAACATAAAATAAAAGGAAGAGCAGAGGAACTGGAGTCACATGTACCTAGATTAATTCTCATAGTTCTGCCATCTAGTAGCTGTATGGCCTTCATTACTTAGTTTCAGTTTTCTTATTTGTAAAAATGGGATACAAATGCAGAGTAGCTCTAAGGATTAATAAAGTAATCTACTTTCCCTCTACTACTGTCCCATATAATCCATTGACTACCTTTAAATCAGCACTTTGTCACATTGTATCTCAATCACTGACTTACCTGTCTTTCTTTCTCACCAGATTATGAACTTCAGAAGAAACAGGACTATAGCTTATTTTACCTCCCTAGCACCTAGGACAATGCTTAGCATACTGTAGATGATAAATAAATCTTCATTTCCCTTCACCTCTGAAGGTGGCTTATAAATTAAAATTTCAAATGAAATTTAGTGATTTTCAGAATAGACACCCTGACCCTCTGGGTTCTCACATCTTAATGATGATGATATTGATAAGAAGAATAGTTTCCATTCAGACCCTACCAGATAAGTAGCAAGTGCTTTTACTATTACTTTTAATTTTCCCAATAACCTTGCAAAATAAATTTGCCACATTACAAATCAAGTTGATACTGAGAGGCGTTAAATAAGTTACCACAATATTAAAATGGTCAATAAACAATAGCCAAAGTATGGAAAGAGCCCAAATGTCCATCGACTGATGGACAAAGAAGATGTGGTGTGTGTGTGTGTGTGTGTGTGTGTGTACACGGAATATTACTTGGTGATCAAAAAGAATGAAATCTTGCCATTTACAACAACATGGATAGAACTACAGTGTATTATGCTAAGTGAAGTAAGTCAGAGGAAGACAAATATCACATTATTTCACTCCTGAGTGGAATTTAAGATACAAAACAGATGAACATAAGGGAAGGGAAGCAAAAATAATATAAAAACAGAGAGGGAGATAAACCATACATATACCTGGGTGGAAAGGATACATAGAAGTCTTAAGAAAGTGGGTTGGAAATGGCAAACGTCAAGGGAGACAATTTCACTTTTATTTACCATACACAGTTTTGTTCAATTTGAAGGTTTCACAACAAGCATGTAATACTTGATTGCTTTCTAAAATAATTTTAATACATGAACAATTTGAATAACAAATTAGATAATTTACTTACTAATAATTTAAAAAATTAAATAGTTAATAAATTAATTTTAAGTAATTATAAAATAATTAAATAATTTTTAAAACTTGCAAAACAATTTTATTATTATGAATTGTGAGAGGGAAGAACTTTTATGTTTACACAACAGAACAACAACCTAAAAAAGCACTTAGGACATTTTTCACAGCGGGCTGATAATCTGACAGGTGGCTAGCCTTTCATATACATTTTTAATCCTCTAGGATTGATTTTATTGACTGGTCAATCCTCTAGGATTGGCTCTAGGACCCTGATTTTATTTTGTGCTACATTCAAGCCACCCTCCAGATTGAGCTTTAACTCATTGTAAATTTACTGACCCACTGGCTACAATGTTAACCTGAGGAAATTTGAAAGCCACCAAAAAGCACCATCTTTACACATTTAAAATATTGTTGTTTTCAGGTGCCTGGCTGGCTCAGTCTGAGAAGCATGAAACTCTTGATTTTGGGGTTGTGAATTTAAGCCCCACATTGGGGATAGGGATTACTAAAAAAAATAAACTTAAATAAAAAACTTGTTTCACTGATCCATGCCTAAGATACTGCCGTCAACAATACCATGCCCTGTCACATTCTACCTTTCTGGGCTAGGTTTGGCATGGGCCAGAAGAAACTGGGATGGGAGTGGGTAGCCAAAAGGCAACACATTGAGTTAAGATCTTTGTACATTTGTATTACATTTCATCAAGTTACCAAGATCAGAACCAAGTCTCCTATCTCCCAGAGAATATTTTTCACACCAAAAAAATAAAAAATAAAAAAAAAAGGAACTCATAATAATAAAGACGTTTGTTACTATTTATTAAGTACTTATCATGAGCCAAACACTGTGCTAAGTTTCTTAGGGGGTTATTTTACTTAATCCTCACAACAATCTGTGAGATATTATCATCCTCATTTTACATGAGAAAAAACAGATTAAAAAATAATAACCGGAAAACAATTGTAAGGTACACAAATCACAAATTTGGCTGCATTCGCTTTCTTCCTGAATCACTTTTCTTGATCTGTTCTTTATCAAAAAAGTACTATTTCTAACATATCACATATATTTTACTAACTTATCCTAACAATATACTTCTACAGTACTGTATACATATTTTAAAGTACCACAAGTCTTTCTTTTCTTTTTTTTTTTTCTCTTTGGCCCTCAATCAAATCTGAGACAACTCAGAAAGCAGCACTTACTCTTCTTATTTTATTTTATTTATTTATTTATTTTTTAACGTTTATTTATTTTTGAGACAGGGAGAGACAGAGCATGAACAGGGGAGGGTCAGAGAGAGGGAGACACTGAATCTGAAACAGGCTCCAGGCTCTGAGCTGTCAGCACAGAGCCCGACGCGGGGCTCGAACTCACAGACCTGAGTTCATGACCGGAACCTAAGTGGGCCGCTTAACCGACTGAGCGCCCCTACTCTTCTTATTTTAGAGATGAGGCTCCCACAGCCCAGCAAGCTTAGGGGAGCTCCCATTCCCATCAGAGGCAATTCCAAACACTTGAAGCGACACCCCCCCCCCCCCCACAATCCCCTCACACTGAACTAACAACCCAGCTGCCAGCTTTAGAGAGATAACAGAAGCCATCAGGTATGGATTCCATCTCTCTCTCTCTGCCTTCACCTACACCTATACTTATCTATATCTGTGCACTTTCTTCTCTCATAAGTCAGAGGTAAAGGATTCATTCTTCTGTCCTCAGCATCAATTTGTGCCCTAAATCCCATTCCCTCCTAGCTATTTCAAGTCATTACTCCACCAGTTAATCTCACTTTTCTGTTCCTCCAACCTCTCTCTCCACTGGCTAATTTCCCTCAGGGAACCAACACGCAGGTACATTATTTGCTTCCACCTAAGAAACAGGCAAACAAAACCGTTCTTTCATCCCATATCCCTCTTTACTGCCTTGTCTTTCCTTTCATTCTAAGCTAAGGTCCTTGAAAGCATAATTTAGACTGGCTGCCTCCATTTTCTTATCTACCATTCACTGAAACATAAATTCTGCCCTTTCTGCTCCACAGAAATTGCTCTCCCTAAAGTCATTAGAAGCTCTTCAACACCAAATCGAAAGACACTTTTCAATGACCGAACCTTTATCCTGACTCAAACTTCTGAGTCCCAGTATCCAAATCCAAATCAGCTGCACTCCTAAACTCTTGCTCTTAATCATTCTGCCACACTGCTTCAAGGTCACCATAGTGACAGTAATCCTGATTTCCTTCTCCCCTCAGCCCCTGCAGTCAGTCACCAAATCCCAATTAAGAAATTATAAATCTCCCAAATATCTCTGGAAGCAGTTTCCTACTGGTGATGACTTCCAAACACCCAACTTAGAAACTCGATGGCTTTTTTTTTTTTAATTTTTAATGTTTATTTATTTTTGAGAGAGCGAGTGAAGGCAGGGGAGGGGCAGAAAGAGAGGGAGACACAGAATCCGAAGCAGGCTCTAGGCTCCGCCTGAAGCGGGGCTGGAACCCATGAACCATGAGATCACGACCCAAGCCTAAGTCCGACACTCAACCGAATGGGCCACCCAGGCACTCCTTCCATGGTTATTTTAAACACCCAACAAGTCCCAGACCATTTCAGAGAGAATAATCACCTCTCTTCTGTGATTCCCTCTTCTGTGGATATATTCAACACCACCCTAGAATCAGAGACTTTCAGAAGTGGAGGGGAATGTAATTTTATAACTGAGAACAGAGGGGCGCTTAGGTGGCTTAGTCGGTTGGGCGCCCTACTCGGCTCAAGTCATGATCACTGTCCACGGGTTCGAGCCCCGCATCAGGCTCTGTGCTGGCCGCTAAGAGCCTGACGCCTGTTTCAGACTGTGTGTCTCCCTCTCTCTGCCCCTCCCCTGCTCACCCTCTGCCTCTGTCTCTCTCAAAAGCAAATAAACATTAAAAAAAAAAAAACTTTATAACTGAGAAACAGAGGCTGAGTGGCTTACTTATTGTCAGCTTTGCACAGAGCCGGGAATACAGGGGAATTAACAGTATATGTCTGTGGGGAAACATTTATTAGATGAATCACAACCTCTGTAAAAAATTTTTCATTTTGCTCCAGGCCTCACTGACTTGTTTTCAGATTTAAATGGGATCTGTTTTTAAACTACTAAAGCATTACATAAATTAGTAAGTACTAGTAGTTAGCATCTGAGAAACGACCCCTTCTCCTTGCCCCCCAAGGTCAGAGGTTCTAACCCTGCTGTGCCCCTACCAAATTACTCAATGCTGACCCTGCCAACCAAGGAGGTCTGGTTGTCAGTCCTCACAGACTCACCCCTTAAAGATTCTTGTCAACAGTTGAGACAGCTATGAGGACTTAGCTAAATTTCCCCCTCCGACGTAAAGGCTTGTAGAAAAGCGCCTTCCGGACACAGTCCACGTGCCTACAATAAGCCATAGCGGTAAGCCTTCCCCAAAAACGCAGACGCAGAAAATCCGTAAAAAAATCAGTCGAATTTTAGCACAAGCGACACCCTCAATTCTGATTGGTGCGGTGCGTTCTTCACGGAAGTGACGCGCACACACGCGGAAGGGGAGTCACGGAAAAGCTATCTCCGGCCAGAAGTCCCCGCAGTGGGTATTAACAGAACGAAAGAGCAGCTCACCACCGTGACGGAGCGCTACTCCTCACCCTCTTCTTGGCCATGGGCCCGCGGAGCCGCGAGCGTCGGGCGGGGGCAGTACAGAGCACTAACGACAGCAGCGCCCTCAGCAAGAGTTCCCTGGCCACGCACGGGTACGTGCACGACCCCTTTGCAGCGTTGCTCGTTCCAGGGACCGCACGCCGCGCGCCGCTCATCCACCGCGGCTACTACGTCCGCGCACGCGCCGTGGGGCACTGCGTGCGCGCCTTCCTGGAACGGACCTGCGCGGCCCCCGGCGCGCCTCGGGCACAGATAGTGTCGTTGGGAGCTGGCTCCGATTCTCTGTATTTTCGCCTGAAAAGTGAGGGCCGCCTGGCCGAGGCTGCAGTCTGGGAGGTAGACTTTCCGGACGTGGCCCGGCGCAAAGCGGAAAGGATTCGAGATACGCCGGAACTGTGCGCGTTAACTGGGCCTTTCCAGAACGGGGACCCCGCGTCAGCGCTGTGCTTTGAGAGTTTGGACTACCGCCTCCTGGGCCTGGACCTGCGACAGCTCCCGCGATTGGATCAGGCCCTGGCCGCCGCGGGCCTCCACGCAGCCGCGCCCACTCTGCTCCTAGCAGAGGCAGTGCTGACCTACCTCGACCCGGACGAGGCCGCGGCCCTCATCGCCTGGGCAGCCCAACGTTTTCCTGATGCCCTTTTCGTGATCTACGAGCAGATGAGACCGCACGATGCGTTTGGCCAGTTCATGCAGCAGCATTTTCGGCAGCTTAATTCTCCCCTTCATGGCCTGGACCACTTTCCCGACGTGCAGGCCCAGCAGCATCGCTTCCTTCAGGCTGGCTGGACTGCCTGCAGTGCCATGGACATGAATAAATTCTATCGCTGCTTTCTCCCCCCAGAAGAATGCCAGCGAGTGGAAAATCTTGAACCTTTTGATGAGTTTGAGGAGTGGCATCTGAAGTGCGCCCACTATTTCATTTTGGCCGCTTCTAGAGGAGATGCTCTCACCCAAACTCTGGTGTTTCCACCCTCAGAGGCGTTTCCTCGAGTAGATCCTGATTCTCCATCAGGAGTCTTGCCTGCCAGTGTAGTCACCAGTGACAACCAGGGCCCAAACCTTAGGAGATATGGGCACGCTTCTGTCCTTTTGAGCCGAAGCATTATTCTTAGTGCAGGAGGATTTGGAGAACAAGAGGGGCGGCATTGCCGAGTGAGCAAGTTTCACTTGCTGTCAAGACATTGTGACTTTGAATGGAAAGGCAACCAAATACGCAGTTGTGGGACTGGAGCCCAGTGGGATGGGCGCCTTTATCACACCATGACAAGACTTTCAGATACTCAGGTTCTGGTTCTGGGAGGGAGACTGTCCCCAGTAACTCCAGCCTTGGGGATTCTACAACTTGGTGTCTGTAAGAGTGAGGATAATAGCACTGGGGACCTAAATGTAACAGTAACAAAGGCTGGCCCAGAAGATCCCACGTTGTCATGTTGGCGGCATTCAACAACAGAAGTGTCCTGTAAGAATCAGAAGTATTTGTTTGTGTATGGGGGTCGAAGTGTGGTGGAACCTGTTCTAAGTGACTGGCATTTCCTACATATGGGGACAATGGCCTGGGTCAGTATCCCAGTGAAGGGGGAAGCACCTGAAGGTCGGCATTCACATAGTGCCTGCAGCTGGCAAGGGGGAGCCCTTATTGCTGGAGGTCTGGGTGCTTCTGAGGAGCCACTGAGCTCTGTACTCTTTTTAAAACCAATTTCTTGTGGATTCCTGTGGGAATCAATAGTCATCCAGCCCCCCATTACTCCAAGGTATTCACACACAGCTCATGTGCTCAACGGGAAGCTTCTACTGGTTGGTGGGGTTTGGATTCATTCCTCCTCAATTCCTGGGGTGACTATAATTGATTTGACTACAGGGTTGAGCTCTGAGTATCAAATTGACACAACATGTGTGCCATGGCCATTAATGTTACACAATCATACCAGCATCCTGCTTCCTGAAGAGCAACAGCTCCTGCTCCTTGGAGGTGGTGGGAACTGCTTTTCTTTTGGCACCTACTTCAACCCCCATGCAGTGACATTAGACCTTTCTTCCTTAAGTGCTGGACAGTAGGACTGGACTTTTGGAATATTCAAGAATCACTGAAGTACACAATAAAGGTTTCCACAAATAGGATTTGACTGTGGCTATACATACTACAACTCTTTCTTTCCCCATCATTTTCTTCTCTTTAGCACTACTATCCAGTGCAGAAAGTGAAACAGGTTGTTAAAACACATACCAACATTCAGAGAGATGGTACAAAAATAAAACCTAAGTAGGCCTGTCCAAAGAGAATGACCATACAGTCCTAGCATAGGAATTGGGGAGCCTTTGGATCCCTATGTGTCTAGTTGATTGGTTTTCCTCATCTAAGTTTATCCATTTATTGAGTTACAATGACCTTCAGCCTAAGTCAAGTGAAAAATTTCCCACTCAGGCTTTGTGATTTGAAATGCTATTTTGAAAAAGTTTAACACAGATTCTTGGTAAAAATACAAGGTTGATACTCTGGTTTCAGATTACATAAATCTTTTGCCTTTTCCTAAAGATTTCCATGGAGAAGTACAGAAATGAGTTTTTACCCAATTTTTGAGGCCTTGTTTTTATGATGCTACCTTAAAAAAAATACAAGGTTGAATGTCACCGAAGGGACATGGTTTGATTTCATTCTTCATGTATAAAATCCGAAGTGAACCCACTTACAGTTGGATTAAAGCATTGTGCCATTTAGTGCAACAGAGAACTCTGGGATAGCTTTTAATAAGACATTTGTAGGACTTTATTGAAAAAATATGCTTTTAATTTTTTTTTGCCACTTGTTCCATTTTTTTAGATTTATTAATACTAATAAACCAGACATTTTATGCCTCAAGTCATTTTGTACATGGTATGATAATGTTTTACTCCAGATCTAGTCTCCATCCTTCACTATGTTCTGTGCTGACTCTTATGGACTATATAAAAGTTTTCTTGTTCCTCTAGTTTCTGGTGAGCTCTACCAGTCAGAAGCATCAGAGGGGGATGGTTGGGCAGGAAGAATGAGTCAGGGTATTCTCAGTTTCCTCTGCCAGTCTGCAAGTTATCAGTGGCTGCATTCTTCTGTCAAAGGCCACATGACTACTATCATGTAGTTCTCTTCTATAAGCTCTAATTCTGCATTACTCCAGGTTCCAGTAATTGTGCCTTCTTACCTCTCTAGGCCTAAGAATTGTAATGGTTCTTTGTTAGACCTTAGCTGCACTGTCCAGTATAGCAACCATTAGTCACATGTGGCTATTTAAACTTTAATTAATTGAGATTAAGTAAAATGGATTCTGTGGCTTAGTTGCATTAATCAATTTTAAGTGCTCAATAGCCAGCCTCATGAGGCTAATATCCATGGTTATTAGGCAATGTAGATGTCTAACATTACCATCATTGCAGAAAGATTGGGACATTTCTGAGGTATTTCACCATCCTGATTTGGTTTCCCTTAATCCTGCTCACCCTTTTTTAATTAGTATCTTCATTAAATTCTTCTCAATTATCCTCTTTAAATGGGCCATTTTTCCTGTTGAGCTTTGTGAAGTTAATGAAATGTTTTAGGTATTCACCCTTGAAATTTGAGCCTTGATTCATTATCTGAATTGTGTATACCTTGTGAAATTCATATAAGGTATTGGCTTTGTTGATACGAAAGTACCACTTTAGTATTTCTTGTTAGTCCTCAATCCTTGAAACCTTAATATCTTTAGATTCTATAAGTACCTAAATTTTAGAAGTACTATCAATGTTAGCATCTTGCTGGACTTAGTATGACAGAGAATCCCTTCTCCCTAAATATTTTTATTAACAAGTTTGCATATAAATGAAAGTGAATGGTTTTTAGTATTAAAAAAAAAACTGAGTAGTAAACACAAATCTAGGTGCAAAGATGTTGGTTCTGTTAGATAAAGGCTCCCAGGAGAAGAGAGGCAACTTCCCTGAAACTACAAGAGCCCTTTCTGGGGACATTATCAGGTATAGGCATGAGTGAACCCTGGGAAACAAAGGGCTTATAACTAGGCATCTGGCAAAGCTATGGGTGGGCCAGATACTAGATAACTGGGAGGAATATGATCAGAAGGAGAAAAGGTTGCTCTGTATTTCTTGTTTCTAAGTTCACCACAGGCTCTCCTCAACTTTCAGGAGCAGATCAAAGCAGAGCATTGGTGAAATGAGTGTTCTCAGCTATGTAGTAGTTAGTTCTAGAATTCTAACCTAGAAATGACTCCAAAGCCCAGGTAACACCTTCCATTATGCTACCTCTCAGATGGTGCCATCAACCATTATTATTTCATTACTTGTGGGGGGAGAGTAGAGGAGGTGGGAGTGTATTATCAAGAGAATGTATGCCAGACCTAAATTTGTAGTGCAGTGGCACCTATTGAGCACTGCCCAATATGGTGCATTATGAGTAATTGGGGTTGTTCTCCCCAGAGAAATTACCCACATTTTCTATAAGCGATTACCAGATTAAGCATGCCCTCCACCTTTAACCCTATAAATGCATCATACTTAGTTAAGGAATTATTCACTTCTCAAGCTCTCCTCATTAGAACACTTAGAAGTTTTGTCAGCAACATTTACCCTGTACCTCTGGAGCAGCACTCAGTATGGACTAGTGCTGGATTCCCAGTTTCATAACAGTAATCTGCAGCAGTTAGAGATGTGGGCCAGATTGAGAACTGAAGTTGGAGAGTGATTTTTGCTTCTCCAACTCAGCTCCGAATATTTGTGTTCTAAAATTCTGGTATGGAGCCTGGTGTAGTCATGAAAGTTAATGAAAGCCTTTTTCTTCATTTAGTGATTGTATTTACTTACTTACTTACCTGTTTGCTTATTTAGAGAGTACAGTGGTGGAGGGGCAGAGAGAGAGGGAGACAGAATCTGTAGCAGGCTCCACCCTGTCAGCACGGAACCCAGTGCGAGGCCTTGAACCCATGAACTATGAGACCATGACATGAGCCAAAATCAAGGGTCAGATGTTTAACCAACTGAGCCACCCAGGCACACAAGTACTTTTTAAACTTTTAACTAGAAAAACCAGTTAAGGAAGGAAGACAATTTCTTATTTTCTTTATTTTTATTTTTTTAATGTTTATTTTTGAGAGAAAGAGAGAGAGACACAGTGTGAGTGGGCAAGGGGTAGAGAGTGAGGGAGACACAGAATCCTAAGCAGGCTCCAGGCTCTGAGCTGTCAGCACAGAGCCTATGCAGGGCTCGAAATCATGAACCAGGATATCATGACATGAGCCGAAGTCGGATGCTTAACCGACTGAATCACCTGGGTGCCCCAACAATTTCAATCTCTACCAGGGTCTCAAAAACAGTGTATCATACCAGTGAGGATATGAAAACAAGGTTAAGAACAACTCTTCTAGGATATGTTCTTCAAAGGCCAGTGCTGTCACTTCTTTGTGTGCTTTCTGGATTTTACCACTGACTGCCCATTTTTCATCTTTCTGCAGATTTAATCCTCCTTAATGATGTTAGGAAGTTGACATGTAACAGATATATTTCAGTGCCCAGACATTGCTTTCTTCTTCTCTTTCTGTGATCTCAGACCTTGAAGTCCTGGTTTATTCTATGTGCATTTGTGATCCCAAACCCAGCCTTGAACAACCCATGCCTACTCTGGGACCCATCCCATATGACATATTTTAGAAAACACTCTCATATGGCAGCCCCAAATGTAGCCAACCACTCTTTCCCTATGGGAGAGAAGACTATGCTCTTTGGAGAATCTGGTGAATAAGAAAACTAATCACTGAGGTGAGTTCTTAATCATAGGGAGCATCCAATAATGTCTAGTGTGACATTAAAACTAAACTCAGCTTTTTGACTGCAGTAATGAAAGGGACATAAAATAGTATTAGGCTGGCAAAGTAGGTCATGAGTCCTGGCTAATCATGTTTGGATTTGATATTTAAAGAGGGTGCCTGAGGGGCGCCTGGGTGGCGCAGTCGGTTAAGTGTCCGACTTCAGCCAGGTCACGATCTCGCGGTCCGTGAGTTCGAGCCCCGCGTCGGGCTCTGGGCTGATGGCTCGGAGCCTGGAGCCTGTTTCCGATTCTGTGTTTCCCTCTCTCTCTCTGCCCCTCCCCCGTTCATGCTCTGTCTCTCTCTGTCCCAAAAATAAAATAAAAAAACGTTGAAAAAAAAAAAATTAAAAAAAAAAAAAAAAAGAGGGTGCCTGAGTGGCTCAGTTGATTAGGTGTCCGACTTCAGCTCAGGTCATGATCTTGCAGTTTGTGGGTTTGAGCCCTGCATCAGGTTCTGTGCTGACAGCTCAGAGCCTGGAGCCTACTTCAAATTCTGTGTCTCCCTCTCTCTCTGCCCTTCCCCTGCTCGTGCTCTGTCTCTCTCTCTCTCAAAAATAAATAAACATTAAAAAAATTAAAGAGGGCGAATACAAAGAGAAGTTATGAAACTTATAATCAGCTTTAGAGTAGACAGATTTCCTTGGATGTCGATAATTATGTAATTAAACAAAACATTTCTGTCATTCCACAGTTTAAAGACTGTTCACTTACCGTTCTTGGTCAATGACATAACACACTTGGTTGGGAAGGGGCACTTCCTTGGCTGAGGGAAGGAATTGTGTCTGTCTAGTTCACCTCGCTATCCCCAACATAGTAAATGCTTAATAAATACTCACCAGATGAAGGTCCGATATGACACTCAAATAAATTATATTCGAATATTACTATTGTGTATACCATGCACAAATGTATGTCAAAATTCATTTACTTAATGTGTGGTAGGGGAGTACTAAAGTTTTAAAGACCTTCTCTTTAACAGTTTTTTTTTGTTTTTTTTTTAATTTTTTTTTTCAACATTTATTTATTTTGGGACAGAGAGAGACAGAGCATGAATGGGGGAGGGGCAGAGAGAGAGGGAGACACAGAATCGGAAACAGGCTCCAGGCTCTGAGCCATCAGCCATCAGCCCAGAGCCTGACGCGGGGCTCGAACTCACGGACCGCGAGATCGTGACCTGGCTGAAGTCGGACGCTCAACCGACTGCGCCACCCAGGCGCCCCAACAGTTT